GGGGTAGGTAAGATCTCCTTAAAATATCCTTCTCACACAAGGGTGGAACATCTCGGTGGTCCTGTGTGCAAATTGTGCAAGTTAAAGATCCACTGGTGGTCCAAAATCGATAAGAGTAGGCTTCAGCCGCCACCCAGGCCAAATTCAAGATTAATTCCTACCAAATTGAAACATGTAATGTTTAACGTGTCCCGAGGACTCAATAATGACCTTATGCAGTTGAGAGCGCTGTAAAACACGAGCCAAAACAAAAATAATACACCAAATAATTGCCTCCCCCTCCTTCATAAGAGCCCTAGCATCACCCACAGAATACGCCATCAGCACGCATTGAGTGACAGCAGTAGTCTTATTGTTCGCAATGTCGCCAAGAGGATCTGCTGCGTAACGTGTAAAATTCCATTGACACCAAGTTATCCAGCTGACAAACACCACAAACAAGCACGGTTTACAGGCCTACGTATAGCCGGGTAAACATGTTCTGAGATCATGTCATGTCAGTGGTCATAATTAATATGTGCTCACAGAGATTTGAGATCACAATAAGAACACATAGCTACATATTCCCACCAGAGACAGCTACGCCAGTCTACACATATAAAGGATTCACACAAGGTCTTCTGCCAGATGATATTACGCCATCATGAAAAACTGATTAGGGACAGAATGACACACCCACAAAGATATGGGAAAAGATGTTAAAAAAATAATGAAAACAATCATCTCCCTGAATCAATGAGAGTGTGGGCACCATGACGTAAAAACAGTCAATTTTTAAATGTCCTTTGTCTAAACACACTCTGTCACTGTCACCCACTTAATTGTCTCCCTCCGCTCCCCCCCTCACCACCACCAGGGGAAAACAAACAATACCTCATTACAGTAAGGCCTAATATCTTTCTGTTTACAATTTGTAGCCCACGTTTGAGTACAATTATGTTTCCCACAATCGGTCAGTAGGTTGCTGCATTGTGTATGCATATATAATGCGTGTTTGTTTTTGACGAGATCTAACTGATTCCATCCATTCGGCCGCTGACAGCGGCTCTGAGTTTTTCCGCTGCCACCATTCGGCCGCTGTGAGCGGCTCAACGAAATCCGAAACAAAGGTGCACTTTTTAACATAGTTCCTACTTTTTAAGTTGTCGAAAGGAAGTAGAACATGTAAACAAACCTGACCTCAATCTCTGAGCGCCAATATCGATCGAAACTCCGCGAAATTCTTGCAAAAATCGTTGTTTTGTTGTTGCGATGTAGGTTAGATCTAAGGGTAAACAAAACGGAACCTGGTATAATAAAAAGGCTCTTCAAAGGAAGATATTCAACTAAATTTGTGAAATTCTTGGATAAATGTGTGCTAGGGTGATATCGCTACAATGTCAATGTTGTGTTGATTCCTATGGATTAAAAAAGGACTTGTAGAGCTGAAAAAATGCGGTAAGTTGAAATTTTCGGAGAGCTGTTGCGCAATTTTTTTTTCTCATTCGTTTTTGTCAGAAGGAAAATGTAATACAAACAGATTATAGGTCATTGTTATTGATATAAACAGATTTTTATATTTATTCCCATCAGTTTGGTATGACAATACCTTCTATTAGAGTGACTTAGAGCTTCACAGTAATGCATTAAATAGATGCACCCCAGGTCTAAAACTGAGCAGGGAAAAATAACTCTGTCCAGAGCCCGAAAAAATCATGGATGGAATCAGTTAAACGACAACTGCAACAAAAAGCAAAAAACCCCAAAAAACAAACAAAAAAACTAGGCCGTCAATGTGAGCTCAACGCTCCATACACAATGAAGACCTGAAGGTGTTGCGAGAGACGCGCAGCGTGACAGCGCTGTTTCTAAACCTCTCGAAGATGGCGGCGCCGTGAGCTGAGTGGGCTCGCGCTACCTCGCTTCTTTACGTAGGTGACGTCACAGCCGATACCTCTAGACAATTATAATTAAATACTCTCTGTGTACACTATAGGGGATAACTCTATGCGTCAGGGTCAGGAATAGCCTTGAAAACTAGAAAACAAGAAGTAGGTCCAGACTGCTCTTGGCAAGGGTAAATTAGATGTAGATTCTAGATCTAGATCTAAATCTAGATTCTAGATTTATACGAGCACTGCAACGTTCCGAAATTACCAGCAGCTTGATCGGAAGTGAAACCCAAGACGGGTGATGGTGAAACTGAAACTGAATGTTTTAGTTTAAACGAAAGTTGTCGACTTTGCGAGACTCATTCATCAAGCATGAGTTATCTGACCCTGGGAATTTCCTCGCGAAATACGTGTTTTTCTACGAATGGCGATTCGATGAGCAATCCCTGCAGACTGCAGAGTTGCATGGTAGGCCAATGAGTCCTACACCCGAGAATCTCCTTGCCCACACCGTACCTGCCAGCGGCGCTGACAAGTTAATACAATATTAGCCAGATAATTTTGAAATCTGATAAAAATTGTTAAGTATTATGAGCTGAAAAAATGCGCACTTTTTGATTTATTATCAAGCTTTTATTACTGTTGTTATTAATGTTATTGTTATTCCTAGATCTAAGTCTAGATCTAGATCTAGAGTCTAGATCTACTTTTCTTCGTCTTCTCGATCAGTACTTGCGAGTACCCAAGGCCCAAACCCAAGGTAAGTCCACTTTAGATATGGCCTTTCTTAGATATTTAGATTCTAGACTGAGAATGCTAAGCGAAGCTAGAAATGAGAATGTAGAATCTACTTAAGATCATAATATATTATAATACATATAAATCTAATAATGAATGTTCATGGCATTGGCATTGCTTGTGATTGTTCTGCTGTGTTAGAAGAATCTAGATCTAGATCTAGATCTAGATCTAGATCTAGTTTCAGTAGGTCCTACTCTTTCATCCTCTCATTAGATCTAGAATCTAGATCTAGAATCTAGATCTAGATCTAGGCCTCATATTATTTTATTATATTGTTTTGATCCTATAAATAGGCTACATGTATTGATGTGCCTTTGCCTTTGAGTTTTTGCTGGACAACTCTCAACAACAGTGCTGCTGTAGTGTAAGCTGACAAAATGCCCTTTTTTCTTCCGAGCAGTTTTAAGAATGGAAGTGGCTGTTTACTTGCCAGCATTGGCTATTCTCACCATGTTTTTCCTAATTTCTGAATACTTTCTATCCAGGGACGGTTTGTTAACTGGGCAAGACCGGCGGTGCCGGTCAAATTTTTGTCAGCTGGACTGTTGACAAGAGATTTATAGCTGATGATGATTTTCTTACAGTATTAAGTAAATCCAAACAAACATGTATCAACATTCAAAAGCACCTTGCCAATTTGAAGGCGCTCAAATAGAGAAGTGGGATTCACTGCTGTTTTGTCGCGACAGAACCTCATTCCTTCACGTTTGTTATAGCGCAGGTTCGTAACTTTAAATCGTCTCCGGTCAAGCCGTCGCGTCGCGGAACTTTGTTACGAGGCCTAAGCCTAAGCTTTCTCAGTCCCAGGCCACACAGCCCGCTCGACTGGCCTAGGTATTGGAGGCCTACCGCGTTCCCGGAGGGTCAATACGAAAAGCGGTGATAGACTATATAAGTGCATTGGTGCGGGTGATGGAGCATTCTCGCACTACTCACTAGACTGGTTTACAACGAACCTTACTTAAATGCAATACATTTTTGTTGTTGGAGCTTTTTTGTGAGAGTTTAAAGGCTCCTATAACAAAGGAAGGTCACACCAGTGACAGACTCAACATGAAAATGAATTACGTTTGCATTTTATCATAAAAAAGACCGTGGCACACTCGTGGAATAACTTTTGTTCTTCACTTGCAACATCGTTCTCGTTCTAGATATAACATGTTTCAACAAATATGAAAGAAAATAAATTTGACACACATACTCACACACACACACACACACACACACACAGACACACACACACATATATACAGTGGAAACCATATATAACAGGCCCGGAAATAACAGGGATCTGGTAATAACATTAACAGGGATGTTTAAAATCCCCGTTTTTTCCTACTCTTTGTCTCTATTAAAAGTTATCGGCAATAACAGGGCCTCATCGGAGCCCAACCGGTTATAGCAGGGACAAAGGCTCGTTAACAATGTGTAAAAAGTAAGAGAGAGAGAGAGGACGGACGATCGGTCGGCCTAGATCTAAGCCTACTTCTTTCATTATGGTCACCAACGATGTCAAGCGCAAGAGAAAAAGCCTTTCAATTGACAAAAAATACGAAATAATCCAGACTGTTGACAAAAAGCAAGCTCTACTGGCAGAGATTTGTCGTCAGTTCGACATTCCACAAGGGTCGATTCCCACTATTATCAAGGATAGAGAGAAGATAGTGGCAGCATACTCAAATGAAAAGTTTGCTCTGGATCGAAAGAAGATGAGACGATGTAGATGCTCTGGACCAAGCTCTTCTGATGTGGTTTTAAGGACGCAAGGAGAAAGTCGGTGCCAAAACACCTGTTCGTGGGTACTTGTGGCTAGGGAAACTACCCATGAATAAGTACAGCTAGTTGAGCTAGATTAGTCCACAAATGCTCACTTTCCTTGCATTTCGGATTTAACAGGGATCGGATATAACAGGACTTTTTCTCTACTCCCACCATCCCTGTTATATCAGGTTTCCACTGTATATATTATATATAGGGAGAGAGAGAGAGAGAGAAAGAGAGAAATATATTATTATATGTAACTGAACACAATCCCTTACCTCTGAAAAAAGTCACTTCGCTATTTTTTTCCTTCGCCTGTCCTTCATTTGCTCCGCAAATATTTCATGAAGATATTTTGCAAGCCACATCAGCTTACGATAACAATATATCAAGATGGAATATCGCTGGAAAGTCCCACAAAATCGCCACTAATCAGTTTCTGCACAGTTTTTCAGTGGTTTCCTTTAAAAAAAACAACCTACCCAACAAGTAGTAGTAGTAGAATAGGCCAACAATGTCTCTCTGGAAGGTTACACACGAAGTGCAAAATTTCATGTAGGCTAACTGACTCTAGCATGTGGCAACATCTCTAGTGAAGTCTGGATGCCTGATGTGCTTCAGTTTGTGAAGCTTCAAATGAAACCTCTTTCACATGGTCATGGGTATGGTGAACAAAAGTTAAATACATGGAAAATGCAAAAATAGGGCCATCTCGAGCAGGGTTGGGTTGATTTAAATCAGTTGATTTTTTAAATTTAAATCAACTTGATTTTTAAAATAAAAATCAGTGATTTAAATCACTTTTAAAATTTTTTTATTTTTATTCGGTTTTTACACATTTCAACATTCAGAATTCCTTTCCTTGGTTTCATAAAACAGATATAAGGTTCAGTAGACTAATATAATCATGCTTAAAAGTCTGATTTCCCCCCTTTCACTGTAAAATAATACAGTATTCAATTTACTTTTTTTTTTCCATATATTGAAATCAGAGCTGGGTTGATTTAAATCAGTTGATTAAAAATTTTTTTTAATCAATTTGATTTAAAAAATAAAAATCAGTGATTTAAATCACTTTTCAAAAAAATGTATTCAGTTTTTACATATATTTAAACTTTCAGAATTCCTTTCCTTGGTTTTATTTTAAACGGATATATATAAGGTTTAGTAGACTAATATAATCATGCTTAAAAGTCTGCTTTCCCCCCGTCACTGTAAAATAATACAGTTCTCAATTTACTTTTTTTCATAATTGAAAACCAGGGTTGGGTTGATTTAAATCTGGTCGATTTAAATCAGTTGATTTTTTTAAATTTAAATCAACTTGATTTTAAAAATAAAATTCAGTGATTTAAATCACTTTAAAAAATGTTTTCTGTTTTTACATCTTTAAACATTCAGAATTCCTTTCCTTGGTTTTATAAAACAGATATAAGGTTTAGTAGACTAAAATTGCTTAAAAGTCTGTCACTGTAAGTAGTAAAATAATACAGTATTCAATTTACTTTTTTTTCATAATTGAAATTAGCATTTTCTTTTTCTTTTTAGACAAACACAAGCGCGTGCTCACACACACACTGTAATAAAAATAAAATGCAAGTTTATCTATGCATAATTACCCCCCCCCCCCCCCCTTCCTTTTAGACTGACATTTTCTTCATTTTTCGTCTGTAGCCATAATTCACTGATATTATATATAGCAGATTAAGGCTTTCTAAAATTGCAGTTGCTTAAATTAATCATTAGTTAAAATAAAGACAATGCATTTTGCACTAAAAGAACATACTTTTAGCCACCAAAAATCCCAAACTGTGTCGACATTTTTTTTTAAATAAAAAAAATAAAAAAAATCCGATTTAAATAAAAAAAATCGATTTTTTTTATTTTTATCAAAAAAATCACCAACCCTGATCTCGAGTTCTGCTGAGCAAGACAAATGTATTATAATTATCTTTACTCTTTGCAACATTGCCAATGACTGTCAGGGTCCATTGTTTGATAAAATGATTGTTATTTTGCATCTCCCTTTTTGGCTGGCATAACCACTTTTACTGCCCCATCCCCTACACTTTCTTCCCATGTTCAAATGTTGCTCACACGGTTCACTGCGCTGAAACTGAGACGTCAGCTGAAAACTTTTTCACAGTAACAGTAGATTCTAGTAATAGTAACAATAACATTCAAGATGAAAGAAAACTAGAATCTGGGCTGAACACTAAAAACATAATATAAGCACAAATTTAATCCTTAGAATCGAGTGAAGAGAAAATACATCCAAACGAAAAAAACGTGTACACCCAAGAGGACTGAATTGAACAATGAAGAGGCTAGGAGATTAGACAGACTAGACAGCTACACATATTACTATTACACTATCGGCACGCAAAAACATAATGCAAAAATGTTCCATCACCTGAATACGTATTAGTATTAGAACATCTGCCTATCGCCGCTTTTCGCATTGATCCTCGATAAGATAAGAACCAGTCTCGAGGCAAGCCTTTCAAGATAAGGTCGTCCACCCCGGCCTCCAATGCCGGAGCCAAACGTCCGAGATATATGGCCTGACTGAGAAAACCTAGTATGAGGCCAAACCAAACACAACGTCAGTCCCCTGGATAAATCCATAGACTGCTCTCTGAGCGAATAGGGCAATCCTTAATTGCCAAATTGGCCTTTTTGTAGCTTACAAAATTAAGAATGAGAACGTCTTGAGCAGCACAGACACATGTATTATTTTATCAGCAAAATTTATCATTCAGCCTTTCTCAAACTACTATCAGAACATTTATTGTCAAGCATGGCACTAATCTTTTTTGTTTATTGACTTTTTAACCACCTATAGTTCCTGTTTGGCATTTACTCTTCGTTTTTTTCCCCTTTAATAACATACCTGGCCCATAGGAGTCTGGCCGGCGAAAGGAGGAATCGTCTAGTGAAGGTATAGGAGAATTTTAATGAGGAGCGATAGGCACTCAGCTGTCAGAGTCTGGGCCGAAAACAATAAAAGCCTTCCCCCTTCCTTCCCTCCCCTTTTCCACCGTCACCCCAGCTAGACACCAAGTTCTATAATTAGCATTTGACACACTTCCCCACTTTGTTACAACACAGTGTTCTGTTCTGAGAACTGAGAAGTGCGATGAAGAACATTTGATAAAATAATGATCGGAAACTGTTGTGTGCTAACTTTGTCTGTCCAGCTTTGTATAGTATCTGATTGTAGACTTGATCTGCTTGGGACAGCGGCACTGGTACAGTATCAATAGACTTTTTGTCATCATACAGGACAGTTCTCATTACATATTTAACGGGTCCAGTGCACATCGATATTTTGTGTATGGGTGAAGAAAGTACGAGTAAAGTACTGGAGGCCAGGACCAGCAGTTTATTGCCTCTCACTTTCAGTTTGTTTTCTTACCTAGTAGTGTTTCTTTTTCTGTGCCGATCAAGTCAGTTTCTTTTAATCTCAGTAACTTCCATCATAAGTTATTCATAATATTGTTTCTTGACTTAAACGCATATTTTGCTCTCTCACATTATACAGTGGAAACCATATATAACAGGCCCGGAAATAACAGGGATCCGGTAATAACAGGGATGCTTAAAATCCCCGTTTTTCCAACTCTTTGTCTCTATTAAAAGTTATCGGCAATAACAGGGCCTCATCGGAGCCCAACCGGTTATAGCAGGGACAAAGGCTCGTTAACAATGTGCAAAAAGTAAGAGAAAGAGAAAGAAAGAGAGAGAAAGAGAGAGAGAGGGAGAAAGAGAGAGAGGGAGAGAGAGAAAGAGAGAGGGAGAGAGAG